GTTTGATTCTTTCTAGGTGGCAATTACTATGGGAATGTGCAAAAGCAGTGTTTCAGGTTCCTAGAGAACTTTATTGATGATAAACAAGATTTTTGTTTATCTAAAGGGCTCTTTAGCTCTACCTAAGTCCATCTGAGCTGCCAAAGTCCTTTTGTAGACCTGTTTCCATGTCTTTCTGCATTAGTCATCTATAGATTTCCTTATGCCCCTGGATTGTGGAGATTATGAGTTACCCAGCTACTCTGATGACAGACACTGTTTAAATACTGTAGATCCTAATTTTTGCACTATATATAATAAATTAGCTATGGTTTCTTGTGTGCATTTAATGGAAACTCAGGGTCAAAAAAAGGAAAATCCACTTTTGAATGGCCCTGGCTGTACAGCGATCTCAATGCAATGCAGTTTCCTGGATGGTGAGCTTATGTAACTGGGAACCGGCAAAATTAGCCTCTTGTAATGGTCAGGGAACTGCTAGCAAGTGCAATGCTGGAGGTCAATCCAAAGAATCTGGAAGTTCTGACATATCATCTCTCATCAGAGCAAGTGGCTTGCTATCACCATAATAGAGAATATGAGAGCAATCCTTCTAAACCTTTCCCTCCTCTCTTGTCACTTTTCTACAAAGGAGGAAAAAAAAATCCTCTGATTATGAGCTTTCCTCCAAAGAAGCATTGAACCAATGGTAAACATCATGTCAGAGGATCCATCTTCCCAGAAGAACTCAAGTAAGGAGCAATGTCTGTGCCGTTTGCATTAAAGTCTGTTCTTCACCTTCTATTTTGAACTTTGACAGTAGTATCACTGAAGCACAACATCTTCCTGCATAAGGAGCCATGCAGTAACTCATTGGAAAATTTTGGCCTCATTAAAACCTGCTAGTGAATGGGTTTTGCCTGCTGACCTTGTCCAGCTCACTGGAAAGGTAAAGCTTGGGCAAAGAGCAGTACCTCATATGGTCGTGGTAACAGCATGATCTTTACCTAGGATCAGCTCTGCTGAGAGCTGCTCCCACCTTCTGCCTCTCAATGCTCCTCACACTCCTCATGCTCCTCAGCTCTAAATGCCACATAGGTAGCAGTAGCAGTATATAAAGTTCAGAGCCCAGGCTGAGTCTTATGGTGTTGAGTAGAGGAGTCAGGCAAGTAGGTCCCCCTCTTGTCAGAGATTCCAGTAAGGTTTTGGGTGATCGGACTCATAATGGTTTGTCCCCTTGCATGGGGACAGAAGAGTCTTTGACATTTTGAGCTTCTAAGGCAGCCTTCTCTGCCTGAAGTGAGTTCCCAGTTAGTTTGTTTGTCCTCCTCACAGGATAGTAGTGATGTGGCAAAGGGGCTGGGTCCTCTGCAGTCTGCCTTTTCCATAGAAAAACTAAAATGACTAGCCTTAAAAAATCTAAAGGATGGCAAAATATGCTTTGTAACAGGGAGTGTGGTTTGCTATAAAGGTAGAAAGAAAACTCTGTGAGGGCTTGAATGTAGCTCCTTGATGCATGAGAGGAGAGACAGATGTTCTCTGCCTCCCATATCATGTACAACGCACTGTTGACCTATGGAAGGTCAGCTCTTACCCTTTTGATCTCTGTATGTTGGAGCTTCAAGACCAAAGAAAACAGGGAAAAAAAATGAAAAAATCATGCCTAAGGCTGAAATCCTTCTGCAGGAGATAGATGCCTGCCTGAAGAACTTTTTCATGATCCTCAGGGAACTTGGCCAGACTAATCACTCTGCCACAAAAGAGCACAGGCTGAGATGTTGGCCATATCTCCCTCTTGTTGTGGAAAGAGCAGGTGCCAAAATACAGCTGCAGTAAACTCAGTAGTCTGCCAGGAAATATCTCTTTTTCTTGAAGGGCAGAAAACTCTTTTCTTTAATACATGCCACAAAAGCAGTTACATGAAGTTCTCAAGAATGAAGATGCTTTGTTAAGTTTGTCTTAAGACTCCCAAGCTTTGTAAATGAGAATCTTTTTTTCCAAAACTGATGTTAAGCTTACTTAAACTCTCTCTAATATGTGTCTCTAATATGAGACACTCTCATATTAGAGACTCCCCTTGGTTGAGGAGGATCGTATTAGAGAGCATTTGTGCAATCTTAACATCCACAAATCCATGGACCCTGATGGGATGAACCCACAAGTGCTGAGGGAGCTGGCGGATGTTATCGCTAGGCCACTCTCCATCCTCTTGGAAAGGTCCTGGAGATCAGGAGAGGTGCCTCAGGACTAGGAAGAAAGCCAATGTCACTCAGTCTTCCAAAAGGGCAAGAAGGAGGAGCCAGGAAACTACAAGCCTATCAGCCTCACCTCCATCCCTGGAAAGCTGATGGAACAGCTCCTCCTGGAGGTCCTCACTAAGCATGTGGAGGACAAGAAGGTGATCAGGAGTAGTTAGCACAGATTCACCAAAGGAGAATCATGCTTGACCAATCTGATAGCCTTCTCTGATGGAATGACTGGCTGGGTAGATGAGGGGAGAGCAGTGGATGTTGTCTCCCTGGACTTCAGCAAGGCTTTGGACACTGTCTCCCATCACATCCTCCTAGGTAAACTCAGGAAGTGTGGGTTGGATGAGTGGACGGTGAGGTGGATTGAGAACTGGCTGGATGGCAGAGCTCAGAGGGTTGTGGTGAATGGCGCAGAGTCAAGTTGGAGGCCTGTAGCTAGTGGTGTCCCCCAGGGGTCAGTGCTGGGTCCCGTCTTGTTCAGCGTATTCCTCGATGACCTGGAGGAAGGGACAGAGTGTACCCTCAGCAAGTTTGCTGATGATACTAAACTGGGGGGAGAGGCTGACACACCACAAGACTGCTGGACAGGCTGGAGAGGTGGGCGGAGAGGAACCTCCTGAAGTTCAACAAAGGCAAGTGCAGGGTCCTGCCCCTAGGCAGAAATAACCCCAGGCAGCAGTACAGGCTGGGGGCTGAGCTGCTGGAAAGCAGCTCTGCACAGAAGGACCTGGGAGTGCTGGTAGACAGCAAGTTAAGCATGAGGCAGCAGTGTTCCCTCGTGGCCAGAAGGGCCAATGGTCTCCTGGGGTGCATTAGGCAGAGTGTTGCCAGCAGGTGGAGGGAGGTGATCCTGCCCCTCTCCTCAGCCCTGGTGAAGCCTCATCTGTCCACTTCTGGGCTCCCCAGAACAAGAGAGACATGGCAGTACTGGAGAGAGTCCAGCGGAGGGCTCCAAAGATGATGAGGGGACTGGAGCATGTCTCCTCTGAAGAAAGGCTGCGAGAGCTGGGCCTGTTCAATCTGGAGAAGAGAAGACTGGGAGGCGATCTCATCAACGTGTACAAGTATCTGAAGGGGGGGTGTCAAGAGGATGAGGCTAGACTCTTCTCCGTGGTGCCCGGTGACAGGACAAGAGGCAATGGGCACAAACTGAACCACAGGAAGTTCCATCTAAACCTGAGAAAAAACTTCTTGACTGTGAGGGTGACAGAGCACTGGAACAGGTTGACCGGAGAGGTAGTGGAGTCTCCTTCGCTGGAGATACTCAAAACCCATCTGGATGTGACCCTGGGAAATATGCTCTAGAGGACCCTGCTTGGAGCAGGGAGGTTGGAGTAGATGATCTCCAGAGGTCCCTTCCAACCTCGACCGTTCTGTGATTCTGTGATTCTATGTTGAGAAGGAATGGCAACAGACTCTGCCATGAATATTTGTCTGAAATATTCTCTCTTGCTTACTTTAAATTTGCACAGTGCTTTGCTTTAAGGTGCTGAGCAACAGACGATTGCTAGCCCTCCTCCTGCGTGCAGACACCTAACCTGCCTGGTTAGTTTCCCTTCTGATGTGTGCCCAGCCATCTCCCCCCTCCCCAGCATTGGATGTCCTTTGAATTGCATCTGCTTCTTTATGGAAATAGTAGCTGGCCAAATTAAGTCTTACAAACTCTAGAACAGCCTAGGCCCTGGAATGAGAATCTAGAATAAGCATTGCCTTGCTGCTCTTTTGCTTCATCCACAAACATGGGTTAGCTCTTGTGTGGACCTGTGGTGCTCTCGGCTGTGACCTTCCTCACAAGCAAAGGAAGGTGAAGTTGACCTGTGAGCAATGGCTCACTCTTACTTTCCAGTTGCATCTGACTGCAAGATGTCTCATGAAACCCAGCGACTTGCTGCTACCCCAGGGACTGCCCAGGAGAATCATGTAGCTGCAGTTTCCTCTGAGAGTAAGGAAGAGGAAGAACAGGTAACTACTGCATGGCAGGAGGTGGGGAGAGACCTGTGTTACTGCCTAAAAGCAATGGGAGCTCTTTCTTCAACTGAGTAGAACTTCTCCCTGTGAGCATTTCACTGGGTAGTCCAGTCCCCTTAGTGCTGGGAGTCCAAAGCCTGTTCTCGGACAGCTCACAGTATGCCTGACTGAGTCAGACCAGTAATCCCTTTAGATCAGTGTTGTCTGACAATCGCAACAAGAGATGTTATTTACGGGGAGTATTCCCATGCCTGGCCACCTCCCATGGTCCATTCTCTTCCATTCCCCAGCACCCGTGATCCCCATAGTAGGAACGTTAGGGAATTCATCCCCACTTATTCCCTCCATTTATAGATTTGTCATTCATGACCATCTAATCTTTGACCCTGCTGTCTCCCTGTCTACCTGTAATATGCACTGGCAATGAATTCCAGAAGTTCACCACCTGCTGTGTACATTTCTGCTGTCCTCTAACAGGTGTGACTGGTGGTGCATAACCTGTACACAGCCTTGGTCAGCTTTTCACTGGCTGCTGAAACAGCACCTGAAGCTCTCCTCCTGCCTTACTAGGAGTAGCCTTGAATGCTGGACTGCTGTGCTCTAGTGACAAGTCTATTGAAAGCTGCCTTCCACTTGTATGTGAATGGGTACAGCCCTAGCTCTGTGAGCTGCCCTGCTAGCTCTGAGGAGGATGGGTCGGTTCCTTGTATAGCTGGGAAGAACCCTGTGGTATAGCCACACTTCATAAGTGATACCACTGGAGGGAGTCTACCTGTGGTTCTGCTTCAGGTCACCTACCTCGTCATGATGGTAACTGGTCAGTAGCTGAGATTGATGAGGAACCAGTGAAACAGGTTTAATAATGAAGACATGTATTGCCTAGGAAAGAGAGGGTAACAAGCCTCAATGGATTGTGACTTCTTACGGAACATCTTATTCCTTATTAGAATACAGCTGGGCCAGGAGCCGAACTGCTGTTGCTCAAGTCATCTTATGATATGGTTTCTTCTGCCCTTGCCTCCTCTGAAGAGACTCACCCATCCGTCAATGTGCATGGTGCAGCAGAAGCAGAAGTGAAGACCTTGGCTAGGGCTGCCACTGCTGTGGCACAGCCAGTTCTGACTAGGCTTGAAACTGAGAGTGAGTATGCTGCGGTCTCAGAAACTTCTCTTGGGTGAGGAAGTAAGGGAAGGCTTCGAATCTGATGATGACTGATGCAGTCACAAAATCAAGTAGCAGGTGTCTCCTCCCCTGCTAATGTGGGGGACATGCTGGTAGGAAAGTCTAAATCTAAGATCTGTTTACATGTTCACTTTCAACTGCGTTTGATTTTTGATTTGCCTCTAGTTGCAACAGTGAAGGAGTATATTTACCTGGGACAGGACAAATTGGAAGAGAAGCTGCCAAACCTGCAAGAACCAGATGACAAGGTAACAGTTTCTTGTGGATGAGAGGCCAAGTGAGCTTGCTTGTCTGGCTGGACCTGGCCGGTCCCCTTGTTCTGGGCTGAGAGAAAAGCAAGGCTCTGTTCTGTTCTCCCTCCAGGTATCTTGTGAGCCACTTATAATTGACTTCAGTATTGAACTTCTCTGAACCCTCACCCAGCAAATGGAATGCCCTGGTCCCGAAATTTCATGCAATAAAATTTAGACTTAAATCTGACATGTAGAAACAAACCAAACAAAACAAAAGAAGGATGGTGGGTGACTATGACCGCCAGAGAAAAGCCTTGTTACAGACTTGTTGAATCTACATACACTCAGCTCCTACTGAAGAGGAAAGAATCAATATTGACTGAAGGCGTGTCTTGACTAAAAATGCTAATCCTTCAAGCTAGCACAGAACTTAAAATTCTCTCTAACAAGGAATATCCTCCCCTCCCCCCAGTGTCCATGAAATGTTCTGGAACACCCTCCCTCACAGAGGAGATGAGACCCAGACACCTGCCAGTTCCCTTGGGCTGGCTCAGAAGTCTGTTCCCCTTCCTTCCTACCCCAAGGCTCCTCTAGCAGCCTAAACCAGCTCCTCTCTTCATTCCCAATTTCCTTTGGTCATTTTTGCCTGCGTGACTCTTTGGACTGTCTGATCAGGCTTGGCACATTTAGTCAATAGACTTAAGTGTTTGCAAATTGTGAAGTTAGATGGGAAACATACTGTAATCTGTACTCAGTAGCTGAAGTCTTTTAGAGACCCTCCTGGAACTGGACTCTCCTGCTTTTTTTCCTGCTGAAATGATTAAAAGACAAAGGAAACAAACAAACAGTTTCACTCCAAAAACAAATGGTGGTGCTTGAGCACTCTGTTTTGAGAGTTCAGTTTCAATCCTGCAGCTCTGCCCCAGCTGGGAAAAGTTTGAAGCTGCAAAGTCACTGGAGCTGTCACAGATGTTCCTACTCACCCTTCTGTCCCCTTCTCTCCCAGCTGATGGGTTGATACTCTGCTACATGCATGTTCTAAAGTCCGTCTTATGGGAAGATGTTAGAGCACAGCTGGCAACTCTTTGTATCCTTGCTGCTGAACTACCATCCCTTGATGAAATTGAATACTCTAACCTGAGGTGAATTCCTTAACATTTGTTGTCCCATGTTCTTCTCACTGAAGCTCTCAAAGGCAATTTTAACAAACTGTCGGATTATTTTTGTGGAAGGTCCCATGCGAGTCTTATTATGGCTTCCACATCTCACAAACTGGGTGAACTGCACCCACACTTGTAGTCTGACTTATTGCCCATCTGGGCTGGTCTAATAGCTCTGATGTGGAAATAGTCTCATCATTAAACCTCAGAGTTGTACCAAATGCTGTTCTACAGAAGTGGGTATATTCAGTCTTTTGACCTCTCTCAGGTTCTCTCTGGCATCAAAGAGCTGGTGGCACCCAGCGTGACTGGTGCCGAAGATGCTGCAATCGGAGTGGCGGAGTTGGAGGCAGCCAGGGAGGTTGTTCAGAGAGTTCTGGAGTCTGCTAGGTCCATGGTGACCAACCAGGGCACAGCAGTGGATTGCAGGCCAGGCAAGGTCGCTAACAGAAGCGTGGAAGCTGTTCCAGGAAAATCGGATCACTATTTCCCCATCACAGATAAAGAACTAGGTCAGAAAACACTTACATGAGGCAGAGCTACAAAGAAGATCTTTCTAGGCTTCTCTGCAATGTAGAGAGGTAGCTTGGGGGGGAGGGAGGGAGAAGTACTCAGCCTCCCAGTTCCTCCTTTATTTGGGGGATACAGGCACATTTAAAAGCCGTGGTCACTCTGGCTCTAACCTGTGCAAGGCTTCATGACTGCTGACCATCTGTTATACACCCTCTAGGATGATTAACTTCTCATCCCTGTTTTTTCCAGCTGACCTTGTGGTCTCTGTGGAGGAGACTGAAGGGGCAGCTGTCCAGCAGCAGTTAGAGCATCAGGGTTATTTCATACAACTGGGCTCCTTGCCCACTCATCTGCATCAAAAAGCCTACCAATGCTTCTTAGCCAAAGCAAGGCGGATCAAGATGGTCATGCAGGAGACTTTCTCACAGTTGCAGGAGGTCATCGAGCTGGTAGGAACACTGTCCTGTCTTGAAGCATCTGTCTTGAAGCTGCTTGCTATAAAGCAGTCTTACCCTTTACTCCCTGTGAAGATCAGGAGGATCTCTGCGCCAGCTCATAAGCTGGCTGGGGTAGTCACAACGCAACTCTTGCTGCTATAGTAATTCACTCTTGTCTTCACTTTCCTGTCCTACTCCAGATTGATTGTGTCAAGCAGGGTATTGATCAGAAGCTTCTAAAGGGGCAGGAGAAGCTGCACCAGATGTGGCTGACCTGGAACAAGAAGCAGCCAAAAGAGAGTGAGGACACAACTTCCTTGGAGCTGAAGGTACTGGTGTGCTGAAGATGCTGGCTCACTGGAGGTGTTCCTGAGCGGGAGGGGGTGCAGTGGAAGCCACTTCTAAAGCTTCTTTTCCTCCTCTGCAGCGGCTGGAGGTCCAGATTCTGGCCATGTCTCATGACATAACCCAGCAACTGCAGCACACTCTCCAAACTCTGCTGACCAACATCCAAGGCTTCCCATCCAGCATCCAGGACAAGATGCAGCAGGTCCAGCAGGACTTACAAGAGGCCCACAACTTCTTCCAGGCTGCTGCTTCTTTCCAAGACCTGTCCAGGAACATCCTGACCCAGAAACACCATTTAATGAACACAGCCCAGGAGTGCATGGATGAACTGCTGGAGTATGTGGAACATAATATGCCTCTTGCCTGGTTGGTGGGACCTTTCACATCATCTTCTAGAGCCTCTGTAGGATCACAAGAAGGGACAAAAGAGAAGGAAGATGAGGGGAATAAGTCCTCTAATACCTAATCTTGTGAGAACCAACTTCTCTAGCTGATACTGGTATAAAAGTTTCCCCTGAACTCTGACTCCTGCTGTTGATAGTAAATCATCCCTCCCCTGCAGTGCTTAAAACAGAACAATGACTTCTAATCCAGGAGTGCTTAGGATTCAAAAACAGTTTGGTAACAATAGGCATTCTTGCATGGAAAAAATAAGCAAGCCTGGTGACCTCAAGCCACTTCTAAATTAATTAAGATCAAGTGTGTGTGATGCAGAAAGCTTTCTGAAATAAAACCATGTGTCATCACTTGAGTGATTCCTCTGCTTGGCTACACACCACGGCTTCGTTCACCCACATATTGGGATGTAACCTTTTCTCACTGCGTCCCACAGAAGCATGCAGTGCACTGTGAGGAGCAGTAATCACTGGGTGCTGCAACTTGTGTTCCCGTGAGAGCCCCTGGTCCAGTCATGCATTGCAACAGATGCTAAACTCTGCCCTCCCTGCCCAGTGAGGTTAACCTAGTTCAAAAGGTCTTTTCAGGTGAATCCCAGTGCTGTTTTCTCCTTATGTTGTCAGGGTTTGGTTCCTAGGAACATCCTGTAAGACCTATCTGCAGTCTACCTAAAATGGTTCACTAAGGTCTAGACCCCCGACTCCGCTTGGTTGTGTGCGTGTAAAACCCTGCGGGTTTCCCAGGCAAAAACAACATTAATGTTTCTGCTTCTACTGCCTATGCTGATCATGAGCTGCCATACAGTAAAAAGAAAGCATCTAGATGTCCTTTTAACTTCCTTTAGCTGCCATCAGAGGAAAGCAGAACTATTTACAGAGAGATGGTTGTATCATCCTGGCTCAGCACCTGTACTTCTGTAGAAAAACTTGCAGAAACATACTGACTTCCAAGAAACTGCTACTATTCCCTCTTGAACCCTCTCTTTACCACTTATTTTTCATAGCTCTTTTTGAAAGTAAAATATTTTGCTAAGTCCCCTTGGCAGAAAAAAAAATTACAGAGGCAGAAACAGCAAGCGATTTTATGCTGTGGGTATGCAGCTGTTAGTACCAAAGGGCATGTCCTAATGGTTTGTCTCACAGGAGGAACAGAAACTCTCTACTTGGAAATTGCTATTCAGATGCTTTGTAATATTGGCTTAGCCTTTCTATCTTAGAAAGATGTAGTGAGTGTGATAGCTGTCAGCCTGCTGCGGAGTTTAGCGTAATTGCTGTACAGTCAGAGTTCGATAACTATGTAGTTACGGTGATAATTGCGGCTGTTGCCTTGGCTGAAGCTGCAGAGCACCTGTATTTATAAGGAAAATAGAGATGAACAGTCAAAAATAAAGGGAGATTCTTGAAAAAAGAAACAAGAGAGTTTCCCTTGTCTGGGTTTTTCTCTTCCCATAAAGATCAATATACCCCTTCCCCTGGAATCTATTAAACAAAATTATTTTAGCTTAATGGGTAACCTTTTTTCCTCATCTCTTTTAGCAGTGGAGAAGGAGAGGGAAAGTAAAGTGGGACAGGAAGAGGTAGCCAGAATTGGCATTGGCTATACCTTGTGCTTGTAGACTGTAGAATTAATATAAGGTGATGCAGAGTGATTAGAGAAGCTGAAGGTGGTGAACTGAAGTGGAGAATCCATTGCTGTTGGACTGCTGATGGTCAATGGGAAGACCTGTGCAAGCACCTTGGGGCTGGAGTAGGTGCTACAGACTGCATCCAATTCAGTGGCAGGTTGCTAAAGCAAAGTACCCATGAGGTAGACTGACTCTGAAGGACCAGACAACATCAAGCTGACTGCTCTGAAAAAGAGTTTGTCCTTTTTTTTTTTTAATTACAGCATGGGTGGTATTGATTGAATGTAGAAATTGGCTGGGCAATGTTTGGTCTTCAGAATTGAACCTAACCCATCAAAAGGTACTAGGAACTGTCGTGATCTGGGATGGAGGGGGACATCAGGGCAAGATCCAGAAGCAGAGACTTGCTTCCCATCTCCTTTATCTCACATGTGCTGAGTGTGCTGCAAGTGCTCATAAATCCCTGTAACAACAATCTGAAAGAGACTAGTGGAAGGACAGAGAGCCGAGTCTTGCTTGGGCAGGTTGCCTAGCCAAGGAATTTACCTATGCTACTTCCCTTTCAACTTATTTAACGTAGGAAGGATGGTTTTCTTTCCTGGTTTAACTCACCTCAGCTGCACTAGACAAGGAAGAAAAATACATTGCATTAAAATAGCAAAGCTAGAAATCAGCATCTTTCTAATGCAGCCGGATCACTCTGCCCCTATTTTTAACAGCTGGCCAAACTCTCTGCGCCAGCTGGGCTCATTCCTGTAAATGGTTCTGCTCCCCAGATTAAAGTCTGCTGTGGATAAAGAGGTCTCTGTGAAGCACTGCATAAATGCCCCTTTCCCTGGGGCTGTTCTTGTACAAGATGAATATAATGTGCTAGCCCTCAGGTGTGCTGCTAGAGGTAGCCTGGATATTGGCTCTGAAAGTGTGGCAAAACCTCTTGTTGGAAGGGAGATGTGCAAGGAGCCACTGGAGGGCTGGGCGGAGCTCAGCTGGGAAAGCTGGCATGTCTGATAAGGAGATGGTGTGATGCTCTGGTGAAATGAATAACCCTACATGGGGAGGAGGAAGGCAGGGAATGGCAGGGAGGTTGTTTGTACATTGGCAGCAACACTGAAGGTGAGCTCTCGGCCATATCTGTCATTAGCTGAAATACTCTTGCTGGGGTATATGGGCATGAAGGAATGGAGGTCTTTCCTCCTGTTCAGTGCTGAGACCATATGTTCTGAGGAGAGCTAGTGTCAAAGGTAGGCGATGGAGATAATACTAATGCTGCTCTGTTGTGAAGAGCACAAACTGAGTGAAAGTTTCATGTTACAAGTCTTGGAAGGTACCTGATCCAACAGGGCCTGACAGTCTGCTCCTGTGCAGTTGGTGCTGGAGAAATCAGTGATTTGACTAGTTCAGTTAATCTAAGAGGGTTACAGCCAACCGTTTATTTTGTCTTATTGCATGGTAAGCATCTGCACCAGTTGCAAATGAATCCCTGTTTCTGTGCTCATTATTGCATTGACGTTTGAGGACCACAGAACTATTGTGAAAGAAAACAGCTCCAACCAAGTCAAAGGAGAACCTATGGCTGCTGTATCTATGATAGCAGCTCCTTCCACTTTCAAACATTCGACATCAATTAAAGGGAATCTTCCCAATGTTAATAATGGGACTAGAGAGGCCAGATCATTGAGCTGGACTCAAGGACTGTGGGATACTGTCCTTAGTTCTGCCAGCTGACTGTGGGGAGACATTTTCTGTGGCTGTTCAGTTCTGAGTCCCCGTCTTTAAAATAGGGATCATGATTTTGACCTTTTTCTGAAAAATGCTTTGTGATCTGCTAATGAAAAGTGGCATATAAGATGTAGGGATTAGTGATAATAAACTCCACACTTATCATTTGAAAGGCAGCTCATGCTCAAGACAAGCCGCAGTCTCTACAGCTAGAGAAATACTGTTCCTCTATGTGATTCTGGTGAGCACCAGTTTTCAAGTCCTTGACTTCAGCTCACCAGGAGTAGGAGGCACATTCAGTCTCTGATGCAGTGATGCACGTATGCAGATGTTCAATTCCGAGTAAGTGAGCAGAGCCAGCAGGACAATAGGCTGGACTTTGTTGCCCATTAAAACTTGCTCCTTTTGCTCGACCTGGGTGATCTGAGACAATGACTGCACAAAATAGATGTCTTCCCTCTGAGATAGGACCATCAGCTGGCCTCCACTGGGATCCCCCTTAGCTGAACCAGGACTTCCAGGCAGGCTGGATTACAGTGCAATTTTTGGCTGAAGCAGAGCTGATGTTGGATTACCCATATAAGACCATGCAAAAAGTTCCAACAGTGTTCTTCCCTCGAGGGTTAACATCTGGCTGACTGCACTCGGTTTCAATGTGGAAAATAAATCTGAGGGACTTGCAGTATGCGTGTGAGCAGAGAAGGTTGTTGCTCTTCAGCAGCATAAAGTTAGGAGCTCTGAATGCTCTACAGCACACTCGCTCAGAATGCACTGGCCTTTTCCAGGTGTCTCTGATTCAGGTGATCAGCAGGTAACTTAGGCCCAGTATTCGAAGAGAGCACCCACTAAAGTGTCGGAAAGACCCTGTAAACTATTCACAAATTTCATCTGAACTCCCTTCTATATAAAGATACCGGAGCTTGAAATATGTACAGATCATGAAGGAATAGGCTCTAGCTGCAGATTTTTAAATCAGTGCTTTAGGCAGTCTCCTTAGCAGCTTGTTAGATGTTTTATGTGTCCTTCCCAGCTACAGAAGAAATAATAATACTAATGATTGTGTCAGATACAAAATAATTTTGCAGCCTTTTTTCTCTGCAAGCTCTCCAGTTTCAATAAATCACACACCCTTCCATGCAAGGAAAGGAGTCTAAAACTATATTACAGACATCTTGGCAGGAAAAAAACAGGGCCGTCTTTTTCTGAGTTAGTTCTAGCCAATAATTTGTTTGCCTTAGCAAGTCATGCATTTGCTGAGCTGTGATACCTTCCCATTAGCATAGCTGAGTGCTCTCTGGGATCACGGGAGGAGGTATTAGAATTCAGCATGCAGAAGCATAAAAAAGGAATCAGAGATGCTTTTTTTGCTTCTTCTTCTTTCTCCTGGTTTTGTCTTCTCTATAGCAGCAAGACTGAAAGATGCACAAATGGTTTGGAATCACTTCCCTTACCAAAAATAAAGGTTCTGATTTAAGTAGGTGTGGGAGACTGAGAAAGGAACAAAACTTATGTCTCTTGCTGAGACCAGATAGACCTACTCATTTGGAGCCGTGCAAAAAACTCCAAGAGCTGCCGTGCTACATTTCAGGTGGCCTATCTGGTGCTGGTGCCGGTCTCTTGCAAGCCCACAGACTGCACTAATTTCTCTCTGCCAAGAGCAGTGGGACCCATGCTTTGGCGTGGCACTCCTGGGTCCTGGTTCTCACGAACCTGCATGTTTCACTGGT